AAGGGGTGGTGCTAATCTCCATTTCAAAGCCAAAGAGCCAGCGCTGTCCAAATATGTCTCCATGGTCATGTGGCCAGCATGAGTAAATGCCGAAGACGCACAGAACACTCTTACCTTCCCACCAAAGATGGTTCCTATTTTTCTACTTGCATTTTTACATGCTTTCGAACTACTAGGTTGGCAGAAGCTGGGACAAGTAACCGACGCTCACTGCTACGCGGTGCTAGGGATTTGAACCACTGACCTTTCTGATTGACAAGCTCAGTGCCTTAGCCACTGAGACACCACATTCCTATTTAATTTAATTAAGGTAATTGAATTAAAGTCATCCTAATTGAAGGAGTACACAGCCATAAAAAATGAGGTTTTTTAAATGTGGTTTGGATATGTATGTACATGCAGGTGCCACTATATACTGCATTAAATGTTTAGGTTTATTCCACATTTACAAATATCCTAGAATGAATTTGTGCAGAATAGAAGACAGACAACTAATAAATAATAGAAAAGTAGGTTTTTTACAGTAATTTGCGTTAAGAATAGCAATGCATATTGCTGAAACTACACAATCGGGCAGGTATAAGTAGTTCCTGAATTAACAGCCACAATTGGGGCTAGAATTTCCACTGCTAAGCAAGAAAGTTGTTAACTGACTCGCCTGCAATTTTACAAAAAAATGTTTGTCATGGTTGTTAAGCGAATCATGGTCATTAAGAACTGGGAAGGTCTCCAACGGCGATCACATGTTCCCGCGACGCTGCAATCATAAATACCAAGAGCCCAAATTTTGATCATGTGACCATGGGGATGACGGTCGTCAATGTGAGGACCAATCCTAAGTCACCTTTTTCAGTACCGTTGTAACTTTGATCCATAAACAAGTGGTTGTAAGTCAAGAAGTACTTCTGTGGGTTTTGCACCGTTTGAATTTTTTTTTAGATCATTTTTGGGTTCACACATGGCATTAAAGGTCGGCAGTTCGGCGGTTTGAATCCCTAGCGTCACGTAAGGGAGTGAGCTCCCGTTATTTGTCCCAGCTTCTGCCAACCTAGCAGTTCTGAAACATGTAAAAAATGCAAGTAGAAAAATAGGGACCACCTTTGGGGGGAAGGTAACAGCGTTCTGTGCGCCTTCGGGAGTTGAGTCCTGCCGGCCACATGACCACGGAGACGTCTTCGGACACTGCTAGCTCTTCGGCTTTGAAACGAAGATGAGCACCGCCCCCTAGAGTCGGGAACAAACAGCAAAATGAACCTTTACCTTAGCTATGGCATTAAATTGTAAACCATGGTGTATAAGGATAGTGGCCAGGATTGGTTCCATGAATCCATTATAAATGCGAACCTTGCCCAAGAGCTGATCTGCAAGTTTTTAGGCTGCCATCTTAACCCGATGCTTGGAGGATCCATCCTTCAGTCTGTCTGTCTGTCTCTTCCCTTTCCCAGTGGACATCCTGACCTACGTGACATGGAAACTTAGTGGCCTGCCGAAGCATCGCGTCATCGGGAGCGGTTGTAACCTTGATTCGGCTCGGTTCCGCTTCTTGATGGCAGAAAAATTGGGCATCCATCCCTCTAGCTGTCATGGTTGGGTCTTGGGAGAACATGGCGATTCCAGTGGTGAGTAGGCCTTATTTCTCCTGGTAGTCCTGCGGTGCAGGCAGTTTGAGGCCTTCCCTAGGTTCTGCACTACATTTCCCACAGTCCCTTGCTCTAGGGATCGTNCCCCCTTTTCAAAACAGGGCAGGAGTGGTCTTTTATTCACGTGGATAAAGAAAAACCAAACATGATGCGTCCCAACAAACCTGATTCTGGCCAAGGAATCTGAATTGCTTGCTGTATGTTAGAAAACGAACTGTTGTCTGCAACAACTGGCCATTCCTAAACCTCTCCTATTCATTTCCCCGCCACGGAGGGGTTGGCTAGCATCTGTGTCTGACTTTCCCTGAGAGCCGGCTTATTGATTTCCGCTGCTCTCCTCTCCTTTCCTCCCTGTGCGTACTTGCATCTGAGATGGGCCCCATCTGTTCCTCCCCATCATTCAGCTCAGGCCCTGAACACAGCTGCCTCTCCACCTGGGAGAGGAAGGCGGGGGAAGGCCCCCGCTCTGCTTCTGTCGCTGATGCTGTTTCCTTATCGGAGCCTTCCAAAGACTCCGAAGCCGGCCCAGGCTCTCCTTCGCCCTCGTTTCACTCTGCAGCTAGCTCTGCTGGCAGCCGATGGGCCACAACACCGGCTTTCATGCAGAAGATCCCCAGATGGCATGTAGAATTCAATACAGTATTTAAAAAGGTTAAATCCCAATTAAGTCATATGAGCAGTGGCTAAGACGCTGAGCTTATTGATCCCAAAGGTCGGCAGTTTGTCGGTTCGAATCCCGAGCATTTTGAAGGCCACAAGCCATCCATTCCTGACTCAGAAGCTTGCGTCAAGGCCTGCTTTAAGATAGATGGATCACTTCCACCATGAGTTGGACCTCCGTATTATTGATACACCAAGCGTGCCAGTCCTCGTGCTTAACTCTTGGCCCCATGTTTCTTCCTGATGCCAGGGTCTCTGCGATGAACTCGCCCTCGTTGATGTCCTGGAAGACAAACTGAAAGGAGAAATGCTGGATCTGCAACATGGAAGCTTATTTCTGAAGACACCTAAGATCATAGCAGACAAGGGTAAGGCTTTCATTGAACATCCCCAAATAAATCTTTGGCCAATAATTGGAAGATCACCAGGAAGTCAAGATCAGTCCTGCCCTGATTAGTAGCAATAGCAATAGCAGTTAGACTTATATACCACTTCATAGGGCTTTCAGCCCTCTCTAAGCGGTTTACAGAGT